TGTAGAGTATATATACCACTTTTTATGGATTTGCCGGTGAGTTTTCTTGACTCGTAAGCTTGAATTTTGTAGTGACAATGTTACCTCGCTCTGATGATGTCCGCCGCCTGTTGGTACAAACTTCTCCACAAAATGGCGAAAGTTGGAAGAGGCTTGCTTTGCCTTGAAACCCGTCTGTGGCTCATAGGTAACGGGGCTGATTCTTATCCCTCACGTCTACGGTTCGAAACCCTCTGAAGATGTAAATGAGAAGATGAGACGAGGTAGAAACTGCAGTCCAGTCTAACTTCGATACATGACATCGAAATGAAACGCAAAAGTTCAGGTCTTTTCTTCTAAACACCATCTTGGTCTTCACGCCTCCGAATTCAAGTCTTATTTTTACTGGCATCGACGAGGCTCTGCATATATTGGACCCATTTGCCCCAGCGTCTGATTCCGACAAACTGCTCTTTTCCTTTCAGGCCAGTCACATATCGACAACTTGTGGCGTTAGCGGCGGCGGTCTGCTGAGTCTCCAGCGGACAAGCTACCACCTCACCCCTACACACGCGTCCTCCCACCATGCTACCTTCGCCGAGCCTCATCTCCAGCACCAGTTGAGTCAGCAGCACAGTCAGCTGGCCGGTCCTCTCTTCCAAAACTCTGGGCGCCAGTTCAGCCCTCCACCGTCCATTCTCCATCCCAAAGCGATGCTTCTTCCCTCCGCCGCTGACACGACTGGCTCTGGTCGTCTCGGCCAGTTGACCAACAGTCGAGCCAATCATGCCTCCGCCTGTCTCGCGGTCCCTCCGGCCCTCGCGACTGCCGTTGTCGTCGCCTCGCCAACCGGCTCCGGCTTCTCGGCTTCACTGCCAAACTCGCCGGTGCTCCGCCAACGGCGTGGCCGCCGACCGCCGGCCGACATGAAGATGCTACCGGACAGTCCAGTGCCGCCGGTGGCCTCGACTCGTCCCGTCGCCGAGTGGGTTCGGCCCTCCGACTGGTGGCCGGCGGCAGTAGCCGCGGGTGGTGACTGCCAACAAGCCGAACTGGCGGCGGCGCATCCGACGGACGGGCTGTTCTGCAAACGCAGCCCACAGATCGAGGTCGTTGAAGAGGCTCCAATCGAAACGGCATCGGCTACGGCTCAATCACTGGCACAGTCTGCAGGTGGATAATCGCAATTTTTTCCTCAAAAAAATTACCTTTCAAGCTATTTTTATGCTAACCGCCAGAGTAATCAGACCGAACCAGGCTAAATCTACCCTTTATTCGCTATAGCGGTCCGGCAACGGTTTTCAGCAACATTGAGCATTAGCAGGTGACCAGCTGCCAGGCAGCCATCACGGTTGTACATTTCAATGAAATGTACGAAAGGTCGACATATTGTGGTTGGATTGCCGAGAATCGAGTCGGGCCTCGGGCCATCAATTTTTGACAAGGCCCAAGCGCATCCAAGGCGATAGATAGAATTTCGCAGGATGTACAGGCCATACATACCTTCTAAGGCGAGTCCGATTCTCCAACTCAGATCGGTTGGGAGGGTAGGATAGCACGCCGTATTTCCAAGTTGTCATGATGGGTTAATATATCGGTATCTTAGACACCAGTTGGTACGGGGCATTATCGGTTCTAATCGGGATACACACATGGTTTATGCTAGTCTAAGAAACTCGTCTTTTTCGCTACTGGAGGTCCATTTTGGGGGATTCCGACATAATTCATTCATTTCTAACTCGACCACATGGTTGAGCGCTAAATACAGTTAAACCATGAGTATGATTCCTTATGGGCAAGGATAGTTTTTGAAAAATCACTCTTCTATGAGCTGTATTCATCCTATTTCGTTTAGGGTGATAAAGGGACTGGTAATTGAATTTTCTCACAATGATATGACTAGGCCGGAAGTTTTTATAGAATTTCACACATCCTTGCTTACCAAAAGTTACTTTCATCCAGGGTGGATTACACTTTTCACCTCGTCTAGCTCTGCTCAACACACCCAGTGGGACTCGAACCATGACAGTGAAGCGTATAATCTCGACGCGCCACTCACTACGCCACGCTGTCACGAGGGTCCTTATGCCACAGAGCAGATATTAATTTCAAGGAGGACCAGGCATTTTTCCATATCACATTCTATGTTGGAATTTTCGTTAATGCAAAGTTGTATTTACTATAGCTATTGACTACGTTAATTATTTTTCATTTATAAGTAGGCCTTAGGGACTGTCAGTAGATCATATATATGAAAGATATTCATCCTATCTAGCCTAGGGTGATACGATAATAATAATAATAATAATAATAATAATAGCTATAATAATAATAAGAGTGATAATGTAGTTGAATTTCCCCAGAATGATAATATATCTTATTACACCTTACATATATCACTCTTAGTTTTGCTTCATTGACAATCTCACCACAGAATGCGATATGGAAAAATGCCTGGCCTTCCTTGAAATGCACACCTGCTCTGTGACACAATGTAGAATAGTGGTCAACATTTCGTGATTATACGCTGCACTGTCATAGTTCAAGCTCCTCTCGGGTTGATGAAAAGACCTAAGCGAGGTCGAAATTGTAGTCCACCCTGAATGAGAATAACTTTAGGAAAAGTAAGGCTATGAGAAATTCAATGACAACATCAGGTCATATGATTATGGGAAAACTCAACTACCAGTCCCCTATCACCATAAACGAATTAGGGCCTGACTTTTGCACCAAACGAGCGAGCTCATTCGGGGAGAATTGCAGTCTCGATCACGAAGTTGTAGCATCAGCGACCGTCAAGAGTAAGACTTGAAGTTGCTATCCCATCTACCAGATCACCACTTCTCTTCAAGCATTCATACTTATTGCCTCTGATCGGGAGTTTCGCTTCTCTCCAGTCAACTTAACTATTGACTGAACTCAACGGCCCACTCATATTTGGAACAACAATGGAGTGTGGAAGTTCTCGAACATTAGAATAATTCTGAGCAAGATTAGCTCAAGATATGTACAACTGACTTTCTAAGCAGTAGGAGTCCTCAAGACGGGTGGCCAACACATGACTAAGGGCAGGTTTTTTAAGCTCAACTTTGACATTTAGTGATGCCTTTATCCTTTGATAGTAGGACGGATTGTAATACCATTTGTAATAGCAATAATAATTGTGGTAGGCGGGGTTAAGAAGAAATACTTATTGCATGTCACCACTCTTTTATTGCAGACATATGGGAAAAGGACAGCACTG